GCCGGCCATGCTGTCCACGCGAGCGCCTGTTGTGGCTGCACTTCGCCTTGACTCGCCTGATAGTGACTGTCACCGTAGTAATCAGTAAAAGGTGTAACCCCGATTTCGAACGAAGCCTCCTGTATTTACGATTTCCTTTAAACCACAACAAATATTTCCCTTTACAGTCTGAACAAGGCATTAATTCATTTGTTTCCAAAGATCACAATATCTTTCGGTTTGCTGGGGCAGGAACTTCATGAGGCTTTTACAGTGGTCTCGGTTCTTCGTCAGTTGAGCAACGCGTGAATTAGATTCAATAATTAGTACCAAAAATTATGACGTATATTACTAAAGTTGAGTTATCCTCAAATAGCGAAAATCTGTTCTCCATCCTGTAAGTGTATCTTGAACGCAGTACTTTAACGCCAAGTAAGTAACTGCGTTATTTGGCAATATCTAAGGTACGTTATCGTTTTTTCTGGCTTCGCGAAAAAATTTTGTAGGATAAATATTGTAATATATAAGCTGAATATGTTTCAGGGCCAGGCATCAGATATCATGATCCATGCAGAAGAGATCATCAAGATAAAGCGTCAGATCAATCAGCTGTATGTAAAGCATACAAAACAGGATTACGATACAATTGGTAAGTTTATTACTGTGAGCAGCCAAATTACCATGCTTAATTAAGAGAGTATAATGGATCGGGATCGCTTTATGTCCCCTGAAGAAGCCGTGAAATTTGGACTGATTGACAAAGTTTTAGAGCACCCACCACTAATGTCAGACACATCAGCTAAACCTGATTCATAGTATCTTCGATTCTTGTTTGATTTTCCTTTCTAATATTGTATGAAAATTCGAACGTCCAAAATTGTATTCAACTCTGACAACGACTACAGCACAAAATAAAGACGGAACTCTGTATTCGAATTTCATACGCTTGTTCCACGAACTGCACACGGCCTTTGGCTTCATCTATTCATACTTTCTCTTTGGTCGGTTGATAAACTAGTCTGTAAAGTAAGACTATATGGCAGATGTGCAGAGTCAAGCTGCTGTAGTTTGTCGAAGGATATGTATTCCAGCACAGCTCGATTAAACCCATCGTGGTGAGTCTGAAAATTCCAGTTAAACCTTAAATGCTATCAAATTATGCCAGTCATAAATGTACACACAAAACCGTATAATCTTGTCAGGCTGTCATCAAGAATTTATGCGTTGAAATTGCATAATTTCAGATTGCTGTTTTGAAAGATCAGCAACACCTTGATTATTTATTTTTATCATATTCGAAATATTAGACTAACAGCCATTAATTTTTAAACATTTCATGAAATGCGGAAAGACGGACACGAGAACAGCAGCAAAGATCGTCCTCTTAAAAACTGCAGTATTCGCAGTGCTTATATATGGTCCGGAAACACCTGCGATCCTGAAACGTTGAATTTTCCTTCTACATCATCCAACAGATCTACTTACGAAGCATCATTAAAGTGCGGTAGTACAACCGAATCAGGAAAAACGAGCTGCTAATGACCACTTGTCAGATAAAACTATCAGAAAGTTCAGAAAGGAGTATCGTGCCTGGGTTCATACATGGTCCGGAAAAGGGTATGATATTTCTTTAAAGTTTTCTCTCATGGAAAATATCTTCAAATCTGAGATGGGTTGGAGGAAGCAGAAAATCTGAACACAATTCTTTAAGGCAACCTTACCTGCGATGACCACTCTTCATTTGAGTCATCTGAGCAGCAAAAGTTTAACATACACC